CGGACGCTGTAGTACTCCTTGCCAAACACATCCCGTGCCAGCCCAAAGTCAGCCACCTTCACCGTCAGCGTCTCGTCCAGCCTGCCGGACACTGTTTTAGGGGGGAACCACCAGGTAACACCCCCCACCTCGTGCCCATCCCCGGGCCCACAGGGTGACTCCGCAGTCACAGCCACACTCACATGCAGTTCCTGGCCGCCAGATCCCGGTGCACAAACTTCTTCTGGGCCAGGTACTCCATGCCGAGGGCCACCTGCAGCCCAAAGCCGATGAGGTCCTTCACTGTGGGACTCTGCAGAGTGGGAACAGTGAGCGGGGTGCGACTTTGGTCCCCCACTACCCTCCTGCCCTGGTCCAGGGTACCCCCTACCCGCTCCTGGGCACGGATGAAGTGGCGCAGATCCCCGTGGCGCATGTAGGGCAGAACGACGAGGGGCAGCCCATGGTGGGGCAGGCACACCCCCAGCAGTGAGAGCACCTGGGGGTGGTGGAAGCTTTTCATGAGGATGCCCTCACGCAGGAACTCCTCCACCTCCTCCACGTCCGTGATGCCTGCCAAGAGCCGAGCCGTGGGGTGCTTTGCCACTGTGCCATGCTGTGGGACCATGCCACGGGATCGTGCCGTGGGACCGTGCCATGGGAACGGGCACTACTCACGGTGCAGGGACTTGACGGCACAGTGGAGGTCCCCCAGTAGAGGGTCTGTGTAAGTGCCATGGTAAACGCTGCCAAAGTGCCCTGCGGGGACAGGGGGCATGAAGCTGGCATCACACATGGTGAGCAGGTGATGTGACAGCCAAACCAGGGTGCGGTGTCACCTTTGCCAATGACCCGGTGGCGGTGGGTGATGAGCCGCTCCTCGGGGATGAGGATGTCCTTCACCTCCTCCAGCAGCTCTGGACTCAGGTCCTCCAGGCAGCAGGATGTGGCCCTGAGCAGTGGCATGGGGGAGCCACCACCTGCTGCACCAACACTGGCACTGGCACTGGCACTGGTGAATCGTCCCCGGAGCCCCACTGGGCTGGGACTGCCCGTCATAGGCAGCACTGCTGGGACAGGCAGAGAGTGAGGGCTGGGCAGGCACCCTGCACCCCACCAACCACCTGTGACACCCACTTACCCACCACCTCCCTGTAGTCAACACCAGGGTGCTGGGTGGTGGCAGGGGGGTTGCTGCGGCTGGGATGCACCAGCAGCTCCAGGTTCTCCATCCCTGTGGGAAGCAACAGGGTGGGTGGTGTAGTGGGAGCGGGGGATAACAGGGTGCTCGCTGAGCATGGCACTCACCCCTCCTCTTCCTCCAGCACCAGCGGAGCAGCACAGCAGCCAGGACGCAGCAGACCAGGAAGGTGGCACCGATGCCCAAGGCCAGGCTGGTGGCCAGGTCCAGCGAGGTGGCAGCAGGCAGCACCCAGCCCAGCGCCTCACAGGCGCCGTTCACGCAGATCTGGGGGAATGGGAGCTCAGCAGGGACAGGGTGGGGGACACTGGGCGGGGGGCGTTCACTCACTCGAGGGGTGCCTACCTCCAGGGGGGCCCCGGCCGGGGGCAAGTGCATGTTACGGGGCAGGCGGCACGTCACCTCGTTCTTCAGCACGTTGGGGTGGCAGTCACGCCCCCCGACAGTCATGGTGATGTTCATGCAAGTGGCCACGGCGTCCAGCCCCAGTTGCTGCCCGGACACATAGCCCTGAGCCCGGAGTCCTGGTGGCAGGCCCCCCCCCCCCCGGCTCATCCCGCCACCCCACGTACGTGCACCTCGATCTCATCGTTGTCGGGCTTGAGGCGGAGGCGCCTGCCCTCGTGCTCCAAGGGGAAGACCTGGGGCTGGGGGTAGTAGCGGAGGTGGAGGAGCCAGCGGCCGGCAGCACCGTCCAGCAGCACGCTCAGGTTCCCCTGCACCGTCTCCACCTTGCTCTCGAAGGGGAAGGCTGGGCTGCGGCACAGCAGCCGCCCTGGTGCCTGTGGGCCCTCGCACTCCTGTGGGCAGGGGATACTGGGTGCCAGTGCAGCACCGTGCCCCGGGGCTGGGGGGGACAGGGAAGGGCAGGGGGGTGACAGCCTCCTGGCACTTACGGTGGCTTCGGTCCTCACACCGCTGGACTCAAAGCGGATCTTGGCACGATACACTGAGTCCAGGTTGGTGCCGGTGATGGTGAGCATCGAGCCCCTGCAGCAGGCAGAGATCAGGGCCCCAGGGTGCACGTGGACCCCAGGGTGCCTGTGGCCCTCAAGCCTAACATGGTCCCCGAGGTGCACATGCTCCCTGGGGTGCACGTAATTTCATCGTAGTATCATAGATCGATTTGGGTTGGAAGGGACCTTTAAAGGTCACTTAGTCCAACACCCCTGCAGGGAGCAGGGACATCTGCAACTAGAGCAGGTTGCTGAGCCCCATCCAACCTCACCTGGAATGTTTCCAGGGATAGGTCATCTACACAGTCCCCAGGGTATGTGTGGTCCCCGAAGTGCGTGCAGTCCCCAAGGTTAGCATGGTCTCTGGGGTGCATGTGGTCCCCAGCACCTCATCCACGTCAGCCAGGGTGGTGGAGAGACCAGAGCTGTCCCCACCCCCGAGGGAAAGGAGCCCACACACTCACTCATAGCTGCAGCTGGGGACGACAGCCGAAACGAAGGGGTCAGGGCGGTACTGGAAGGGCAGGGGGGCGGGGAACTCCTCCCCATCGATCCACAGGGCCACCCTGGCTGTGCCCAGGCCACCGGCGGTGGGTGCAGTGCACCAAATGGTCCCATCACCTTGCCTGGGGACACAGCAGCCGTGGCTGGAGGGGGCAGTGGAACTGTGGGGGGTCCTCGTGCCTGTCCCTGTGCCAGGGACCCCACTGTTCCTGGCAGGGATAGGGCAGAGGCATACCTAGGCTGCCCGGACAGGGGGCACTCGGAGCCGTTGACCATCACCTGCCAGCTGCTCCCCGACAAAAGGTGGGTGCCGTGGAGTGAGACGTGGGTGCCACCCCCACGGGGGCCAAACAGGGGGTGGAGGGCAGTGACACGGGGCTCCTGGGCAGAGGCAGGGTCAGTGGGGG